ACTTCAAATAGGAAATGAGTGGGAGATCTCAGTTACTGATGTGTGATAAGTGCTTGCAAATTTAACCTTTTTATAGCAACTACTGTAGCTTTCAAAATAGAAAACAAATATGATGCCTTGGTAAAAATAATATATTTAAGGCTAGCAAAAAGAAACTATAAAATAGACATTATCAGAATATGTGTATGCTTTCCATCTTCCCCAGTATTCTCAGAAGAAAACTAAAGGGGAAAAAAACCTTCTCTAGTCTGAATAATAACATTGGACTTTATTTCACTCTGATTGATAATGACAAAAATGCCTGTCTTGTACATAACTTAATGGATATAGTAGGACAGGTAAAGTAATATAACTATTTTTACCTCCGAGAATGTGGAAGATAACACAAATGATCAATTGAATTAATTCTGTTGTTTGACAGATGTCTTTCTTTAATTCCTGTTGATTTTTCTCCTTTCCAATATAAACTATAGAAATCAAAATTCAGACTACTTTAAGCTTCTGTTACATTCAAGAATACCTACAGATTATGTGACATTTTACTTTTTTTCCAATTTCTCTCTTTTGGCTTTTTTTTTAAAAAAAATAACACTGCTTAAAGGATACAGAGTGTTTGGAAATACAAGTGGAAATTACTATGTGATATAAAATTAATTTTTAAAATTAATGACATATATAGTTAATATCACATCATTCCTCATGTGTAGTTAAAAGGACTGTGAAAATTAGCTGTGGCATAGTAAACTGAAAGAGAAGCTGAATGTTTTACTACAGCAAGAAAAACCAAGGCCAAACTCTTGTCACTGGCTTATAGATACATAACTATATTCCACAGATCCTCACCAGAGCAACAGTTGTGACAAACAGTATCAATTGCCAGAGTTCCCTACAGGAATGTATCACAAATTTAATTCTCATATCACAATGGACCAAATCCAGATGGACTGAGAAGTCTGTAGTTCAGAACAAATCAAAAATTTGAGTTTTAGGAGTCTTTAGGAATTTTGACTTCCTCAGCTCTCTCCAGAATGGGAGGATACAAACTGTAACAAAAGTCCCTGCAAGTGAGTTTCATGGAAAAGGATTCGAAAACTCAGGAAGGAAAACTACAACAAAATCACAGTAGAATTCATACACAAAAAAACACTAGAACAAAAATACTTCTTGGGCTTCATTTGGGTCTCTGTTGATGTGATTCAAAGCACAGAAGTTACCTACTAAGTGAAAGACATGAAAGTGATGACCTATATACAGTGTTGGTGCCTCTTTCGTTAACCTTCTGGGGGTATAAATGAGGGGATGATGATGAATTAGGCACCCAGATTCTCTAACTCTGGATGTACTTTGTGTATGCGTTACCTAAAGGAGGAAGAAGCAACAATTTTGTTCTCTAAGTGCAAGCCTTAAATAGATATGAAATGTAGGGCAAAAGAAATAATCACTAGAATGTATGAAGTAATAGGATTTGAACTCACGTGAAGAAATACTCCGCACATGAATATAATGCCAGAGTATATCAAAGAGTAAATACACCCTCCTTGAAAGAGTGATTATTTGATTACATATGAGCAACCACCTGATGTCACAGCGCTTGTGTTGGACCAGGCTAGCGACCACGCTTCAAGTCACTCACTGATCTTCTCCAAGCATGCTTTTATTGGTGGCATCCAAGAAATCTGGCCCATAAGAAAGCATAAAAGTTAACACCAAGTGCATTTACCAGAGTACCTAAAACTGTATCTTCCCAGTTTCCAATAGAGAATCTGTATATATTTCAAGGCAGTGACACCATTCACGGGACTGAAGCCCTAACTATACAGTTGCCCTTTCTGTTTTACAGTACAGTGCTGCCCAGCTTCTGGGTGCTGCTCAAACAGAAAAGTTCTCATCCTATATGTGGTGGAGCTGACATACATTACGTCAAAAGAATGCAAGACAATCAGTCAAGCTGGTACTTCATACATACATATATATAGGCATAAATGCATCCACTGAGCTTGACAAGGCTGCTACAAGTTACATTCATGCATTAGTGACTTGAGATCTAACCCATGAAATACTCTACAGTGAGGATGGGACAATACCAATAGCTCTGCTATGTGTTGCACAATATTACACCAAAATTTGTCATTTGTTCAACTTATAAATTGAACTCCTGTTAGGGAATAATTATGTAAAGAAATGGCAATAAACTACTACAGAATGAGAAACTTCTAATGATGCATGTTTTCCATTTAACCATTCTGAGATCAAATTCAGACATATTCAGCTCAAAGACTGAAGAAACCTGGACTGAAGAATCTGAAAAGTGAAGAAAAACCTGGAGCAGCATTATTTATCTACATAGTTGCAAAAATCTCCCCACTATGAGCTAGGAATTTTGTATTGCATTTAGGAAAATATCTAACTGCTTAAATGTGGACTGAGTTAGTTTTATGGCTTTATGGACCCTTAGCTACTGTAACAGAACCTTTCTGGTTCCATTTCCTTTGCTCTATACTGTTCAAAACACCATAAAACCTATTTTACAACAAATTATAAAAACTTTCCCATAATCAGTATACAATGATTAAGTGCAGTATGTGTGCCAAGTTAACATGGACGGTTTTAAAACAAGAGATACTCCATGGAAAACTTGAAAATTCTCTAAAACACCAATTAGAACATAGTCGTCAAATATTTAAAGGGGAAAAAAAAAACCCTCAAACTTTAATCAATCAGGATTTTACCCTTACACTATAAGCTACTTAGGATTTGTACAGCCCTTAGTACAATGAGACCTGTGACTACGGCTTTGTGGCATTCTAATGACAAGTCAGTATTGTAATAAATCTGAGTGAATATAAATGACACATTTGTGAAGCCTAAGCTTTTGAAATTCTTACACAGATAAAACATTTTTTTCCTAAAATTAACCAACATTTCTGAAAGGCCCTGAAATATAAACCCCTAACAAAATAATATGAAACAGAAAGAAATCCAGCTTCTTAAATCTAACTTTTTTTCTTAAGCAGCTATAGTTTTAAAAGATCCAACAGGTTATTAGTAACACAAACACTGGAAGATAAGCATTAAAAGACCTAAATTCCAAATCACTTAAATGAATGAGAAGAGCTAAAATCTATCCGAGGAAAAAAAGAATGAGGAAAAAATGGAGACTCCACCTTCATTAGAAGCAGTAAATCCAGTCTGAGACAAAAATCCAAGATTTGTTAAATAATATGATTGCTATTAAGTATTGTTTTGTTGTGAATCACCTGTGTGCCTTCAGTTATTTCTAAATAGACAGAGGCAAGTTATCTGTATGTCATGTACTAATAAAATATTTCTGTAGAAGAGTACAGAAAATGTTTAAGAAAGTTCATCGAATGCAGCAACACGTAAGTGCATATAAATTCAAAGTATATTTTTCATCAAAATACCTAACAATGCATGATGCTACAGCTTAAGTTAAAACATCGCTTATCCTCAGTTAAAACATCATTTAGGAGTTCTTTATTAATACGTTAAATCTAAGGTGAAACGTAACCAAGGGCGTAATTCAGAGAAACCATGACTAGTTCTATCAAGTTTTAAAACAAGTATTGTCTCTGATTAGTGAGATAAAAAAAGCGCTCTAATTATTGCGGCTTTAAAAAAAAAAAAAAACACCACACCAAAACCTTGGAGTTGAAATGATTACATTTGGAGGGCTCTGTCCCGAGGAGCGGCTCCCGCGCACTGCAGTAAGGCAGCCCAGCGAACTCCCCCTCCTCACACGCTGCTGTCGCAAGTCTTTGTCTCTTTTCCTGTAGTCCTGTTTAAATTCTCACCTTGCTCTGCCCTTGTCATCAAGTCATTCAAGCACAAAGCAGGGAGCACGGGAGTGTTTACTCATTTCCCAAGTCCATTATCTTACACATTAATCACTGGTCTGGAACTTTTGGACAATGCTGAATCTGTTACCTTTTATTTTTTTTTTTTTCTTTCTGGCTGCTTTACTCTTGGGTCCGATAGTTCACCGGTTCCAAGCTGTACTTACACTTGATGACCTTTACATCTGATTATTTAGCTACTCTTCCTTTTTTTTTTTTTTAATACTTCAAAAATAAACAAATGCATAAAGTTAGAAAGTCTTTCCCATCTTTAGAAGTTGTGCTTGCCTGAGGAAGCCACAGATACAACTATTGCGAATCTATATTCCATATGAGAAGCGCAAAGCTAAAGATAGGGGATGCTTCTAGAAAGGCATGGAGGAGTTTATTTTCTTTAGAGCAACTAGGTTTCTTTGGAAAACCTGAAGGAGGACACAACACCGGTGGGTTTTTTTAGTGAAAAAGCAGTGAAAAGTTATTTCTGAATGCAGGAAGTTTGTTATTGCAGAAATACATCTGAAACAGCATAAAGTTTATTTGCAATAAAGGTTGGAAAAAGGAAGAAATAGGTGTAAATCTGGACAGCTGGAGGCTCTTGAACTACACTTGTTAAAACATTTGTTTGTGAAACACGCATTTTATTGCCTTGTATGCATGTTATAATGAGGCATGGACAACTGCAACATTACTCTTAATGATTGCATTTCTTGTTTCAGCCAGTTTCCTTGTCCTCTCGCAATTAACGCTTTCCCAGATCACCCAAGGCTACTGGGGGGGGGGGG